CCCCAAAACCCCAAAACCCCAAAACCCCAAATGCTATTATCAGTATTTGATGAAACTGAAAAAGATTTAATTATGATTTTTTAATGTAAATGATTAGTCAAAGTTCAAGAATATTGTGTAGTTAGACTAATTCATTGGATTGCTTAGACTGACTGGATTCAAAGCGTAGACTTTGCTTTATTGCTTGTGTCTGGTTCTAGTTTGCTATATTCAACAAGTTGCTCACCAAGTTTTTAGTTTCTTCTTCTAATGACAACGAAAGCAATAATAGCACCAACAATAATTAAGATTGAAATAACGATCAAAGCTACAGCCCATGGAGGAAGTGAGTTATCATTATCTCCCCCTCCACTTCCAGTATTTCCAGTTCTCTCATCAATACCAGTAGGAGCAATTGTGCTATCAGAGAATTGATGGAGATAAAGTCCTAAGGAATTATTCTCATAGTTTAAGATTTGGTAGTAGTTATATAAGAATGGAGTTCCAAGAACGATGTTATTGTCTGATGAAATGTTCATTCTATATCTGCACTCTGGGTAGCCTTCATCTGTAGTTGAATCATACACGTATCCTTTTGCTGGGATGTTATAAACTTGAACATCTCCGAATTAGATTTTGATATCGAAAAGATTTCTGATTTGCTTTGAGCAGAGTCCTGGGAATCTGCAAAATCCTGTTGTCTAATCGCAATTAGTTAATCTGATTTGCTTTTAAGCGAGCTCGGCAAATTTCTTAAACATGTCTGATGGTAGTGAAATTCCCTTGAAGAATGAGTTGAAGATAGCATTTCTCTTGTAGTTATCAGTAAAGAGAGTGTAGTTGCCAAACTTCAAATCATTCAATGGAATCTGCCATAATTGATCGCTAGTTGTCTTGTACCAATATACAACTCTATCAGTATATTTGTCGAATTGGGTATCATCATAGCCTCCCATAGTAATGGTAGAGTCTCCTCCTTGATCGGGTCCGGTAATCATAATGCCTACCATTTTTTTATCTATAACTTTCTAATCAACAAGAGTAGCAACAAATGAAGGGCCATTTTTTGGATCATCTGGGGCCATTCCAACAACTCCTTGCATAGGTAGCATCTTTTTGCTGACATCAGTAACTGAGAGGAATCTGAAATTTTTTGCACAGTAGTCAAACTTGTTTTAAATGCAAACTGTGTCATTAACATCATCTCCAACGACAACGATTTGGCCATACTAACAATATGTGAATTAAAATGAGAAATTTATATGTTGCTTATATTCTTACATTAGCATTGTAGGCAGTGATAATATCAGAATTAGCTCTAAAATAAATCGTTAAATTAGATTATCATATGAGATTAGTAATGAAGACTTACGCTGATGTTGATTCTTTCCATTCGTAGAGTCTATTTGATGGATCGCAAGATAAGCATTATTTATCCATAACGAAAACCCAATCAGATGATGTATCGAAAATAAGGTTAGCTTTTACATGGGCAGATCCAAAATAGAATACACCTGTATAGACGTTATCTTTGGTAGTGCTCATGTAGACATTCAATTGATCTATATAAAGTTATATATGTCTTTTTACCTCTTAGTAAGTGATCTTTAGGTAAGAATGTGGTGCCGTCCATAGCCAATTTTAATTCATCAATAGGTGTAGATTCAACTGGGATTTTGAAAACACCTGCGGATACTATTGGAGCGGCTATCAGCAAAGCTATCATAGAAAGATTTCTCATCTTTAATAATCTATTATTATAATTCAAGCGATCGTATTAGCTATTTGAAATTGTCTATGAAATCTGATTAACTAATTATTCTATCAGCTAGTCATAATCATCTTTCGGGGTTTTGGGGTTTTGGGGTTTTGGGG